CATTTAGATTTTTGTTTACATTGAAATCAATAGGTGGGAATTATTTTTTTTTTAAATCCTGCTCAAATGGATTAGAAAGTTATAAATTAAATTGTAAATATATAATTGTATCCATTTGTATTATTTAAAGTAAATCTACTGTTGATTAAGACTTAGGTCATTTATGTTAAGAATCGACACACTAAGATAGGGACTTTAGAAATGTGATGCGATTTGAACGAAGGGAAGCAACTATGTAAATGTGTGCTCGATTGTGTAAGGGGGATTAGGGTTGGCATGTCGGGTCAACGTCTTTAAAAAAAAATGGGATCTATTGGCTCTTTTACTGTAGTGTTGAACGTGAAGGTGGGATAGTGGATGCGACTGGTGGGTGTGCTGGGATGGTGGATGCGAGGGGTGGGTGTGGTGGGATGGTGGATACGAGGGGTGGATGTGGTGGGAAGGTGGATGCGAGGGGTGGGTGTGGTGGGATAGTGGTTGCGAGGGGTGGGTGTGGTGGGATGGTGGATGCGAGGAGTGGGTGTGGTGGGATAGTGGTTGCGAGGGGTGGGTGTGGTGGGATGGTGGATGCGAGGGGTGGGTGTGGTGGGATGGTGGATGCGAGGGGTGGGTGTGGTGGGATGGTGGATGCGAGGGGTGGGTGTGGTAGGACGGAGTTTACTTATTTCATTACAGTGGTGTCATATAAGATTGTAAAACAGTTCGAACAACCCCACGGTAACTAGGAGTCAGCCAGCAACATGAGTCAAGTTTATCGAGAACTGTCTAGACGAGTCTCCTATACATACACTAACACTAAACAGAGGTACCTTATAACGGTTATGTGTGATCATGTATCTACTGCACGGCAAATGCCTAATAACTCTGTACAATCGAATAAGTGGAGATAGAGGACACCCCTACTCCCACCCCACCACCCCTTCCATATCCATTGTTGTTGAGATGGCAAATACCTATATTGATCGTGCGAGCTGAGGAGGGAGGGAAGGGGTGGGGGGGGGGGCAACGGGTAAAGCTGCAAGCCGCAATACTTTGGTATTTCGATAGAGTAATGAAATTTACGGCTGACCTGATAAAATAAGGAAGGGAGGGGGAGGGAGGACGGTAGAGGGAGGGAGGTAAGCGGGGAGGTTATGGGAGGATGGAGGACACACTTAATGAAATGGAGGTGAGATGGAGACGATTGCTCCACGGAAACGATTTACGAGTCCGGCGAAAGGAGGGAGATGGGGGGAGGGGAGGATGATCTCGTGTGATAAAGAGGACGGGAAATATTGGAGCGATGATGAAGAACTTTCGGGCGATACTGGGCGAAACAGAGCGGGGCTGGAGTTCCCCAAAGATGGACGTCTTAGGGGAAAAAGTTGTGATTAAAAGTGTGAGCAGTTATTACCACTGATACAACTAGAGAATGTGTGTGTGTGGGGGGGGGGGGGGGTGGAGGGGAGGGTGACTGATCATCCCCGTGCATATGTTTCTGTTAGTCGACTACCTACAATAAGTTACATCTATTTTATAGATATAGGCTTACAATTTTTTTAATAAATGCTAAATTAAAAGGATTACCTCCCATGTTTACATGTATTGAAATCAATGTTTACAAGTTGAATACAAAGCGGGAGAAAAAAAAAACAAAGAAACAGAGAGCACATACGTTGTTTAAAGTGCTCTAATGGCATTTTTTGTTTTTGTAAAAAAATGTTTTTTTTTCACTAATGTGTAGCTAGCAATGAAATAAAAAATTGGCAGTCCCTGGTTAAATTATTTCTCCAGCAAATGTCAGGCCCACGGTAGGTTTGCGTGTTGCGATGCACGATGACGTCATGTAATGTTTGGGGTCTCGATGGGAAATTGAAGATTCAAGGGACATAACTAGGTATAGTTATAAAGGGATGCAACTTTTCGATTTAAGTGGTTTTTATGGTGTCCGTGCGATGATGTATTGTTTTAGTTGTTGATACATTTGGGGAGACACTTTTCTGTGTGAATGATGGGAGAAAAATCTCAATTCAAAATTAGTTATTAGTTTCTTTTAACTGTGTCTGTCAAAATGACATATTTTAATTAAATACCGTGATGTTGCTAGAAATATCTCATTAATCAAAGTAAATTAAGTATGTATAAAAGACTCATATAACACGATACGAGCTCAACCGTGTTCATTACCAACACAAAGACCGAGCTGGGGTTTTCATATGTTTGGTAATCGTAGGTGAAGCAGAATTAACGTGTATGTTTGGGCCTCAGCTTTCATATAAAACGTATTAAGTTGGGTATTCAATAAAGTCGCTAGCACAATAAAGCACGTACACCCAGCCCCAGCACCATATAGCACCATAGATGCTTGCAGATCACCAAAACATGTACCATAAAGCACCACAGATATATGCACCATAAAACAGCACAGCAACGTGAGAGTGCATACATCAACACTCCGGTGACCTCACCAGATTTACATAAAACATTGTACAGGGGAAAAACTCAAGAAACTTGCCAGGAGATTAGAGTTTCCAGTGGCTAATCTTTGCGATAATCCATTCGAAAAACAATTCCAGTCGCCCAAGATAAAAAAAAAAAAAAAAAAAAGCGCCGTCCAGGTGTTAAAAAAATAGTCCTCTGTTCCTCTTGGTGTGCTGCGCAACTTCACAAAAGACAATTCCAATTCCAGAGCGGGTTTTTTTTCCCTTCCCAATTTTATAATGGGTTGGGTTTGAAAAGTGGTGGGAGGGGGTGGGGTTATAACATTTTGTTGAAAGTAGAATCGGGTTTCTACGCCCCATAATTTAGTTCCCCCTAAAGGCTAGGAGCGTAGGAATATAAAAAAAAGGTCCGTTTATTGGTCTATAATTGCATCTTAGCGGCGAGATGAAAATGGCAAGTTGGGATCGATTTGAAAAAAAAAAAATTGAAGTTCGGCTCTGTAAGGTGTGTGTCACGCATAGCATCTGTCGATATCTACCTCACAGTAGCACGTGCTACACTAGGGTGAGCACTTCGTGTGTTCGATATCAATGGCTAAATATAGATCAGTGCACTCTAATGATGTGACGTCACTTTGAGTTTCAATTTTCAATTTCAACAGCAGCATTGCAACTTATGTTTTGCATGCATACGCAAAGATATATATATATATATATATATATATATATATATATATATATATATATATATATATATATATATATATATATATATATATACGTATATATATATAATGTTTGTGTGTAAACAGAGAGAGAGAGACAAAGGCAAAGATGCCAGAAGAGACATCAACAGGCTAATCAGTTTATCAACACACAACCTTCTACGTCGGCCATTTGTAAGGCAGGCCTTCCAGCAATCGCATGTAGCAATTTGGATGGCAATGACGTATTTGGCAAGGGGAGAGAACTTGTCTACACACTGTTCTCTCGCGGTTGAGGCCCTACCCGATATGTCCCCGAGTCTACAAAAGGAATGTGTTGGGCTGGAACTGATTATATGGACCTGTCCACTCTGATCACTGGTAATTGTAGGGGATACTAGCCAGAACTCCACTGCCATAATACACTAAAAAATTGTGTTGAATATACACATGGATAAACAATAAAAGGAAGAATAAGGGAGGTAAATATAGGCGATATGAGTGAAAGAAGAAAAAATTGAAAGAGATAGAGAATAGTAGTGTTTTATTTTTTATTTTTTATTTTTTTTGTCTGACGAAGACGTTATGTCGAAATGTTATACTGTAATCCCATATCGTGTTTTAATATGTGTGTTGTTATATATGCTTTCGTGTGTGACGATGGTTTGGATTTCAAATAATCAATTCGTTTTGCGTCTTAATTTCTCGTGTGGGTTTGATGACGTAAGTACCATTGCCATTAAGCAATAAGATTTACGTCTGTTTATATGTGGTGCATATGCAGGATACGATCGGGTATTACCCGCGGTTGGCGGTGATATGTTGCTCCCCAGACCAGCAGGACATATGTCCATAGATTTAAGATCTATATGTGGTACAATCTATATGTCTATTGAATAATCCCTAATTTAATCGTTGGTAGTCTAGAAATCTATATGTGGTACAGTCCATTTATCATAGGTTTCAGTCGCTATTTACATTAATAATAGAGTCTATATTTTCATATGTGGTATAATGTATTTGCCTTTGGCACAGTACCTATTTTCATAGATGGTAGAGCCACTTTTTTTCTTATGTAGCTCATACTATATGTTTATGGATAGAAAAGTCATAATATGTATGTATGTGACGGTTCATAAGTCTATTATTGGTACTGTCCATATGTTCATTGCGGGTTGAATTCATGTTTTGGTAATATCCTTTTATCAAAGACGAGTATAGTCCATATACCAAAAGCTGGTACAGTACATACGTTGATGAATGGACCAGGCTCTATAGTATAGTATAGTACACACCCACATAAATTCCAGCCTTCAAGTTAAGCAGGTAATACCCCAAGCAGCTGGTACTTAATTGACCGACCGTGATGCGGGGAATTTATTACCACGGCTAGATTAAGTGGGGGACAATGGACGGGGAATGGTAGGCAGTGGGGCGATGGTATGTGGTACCTGAGCAAACACGGGGCACGTGAAATCAAAGGTGAGCAAAGGAGAGATGAATGACAATGGCGGGGAACACAAGAGGCAGATTAATAGCTGAGATTAAATCTCTGACATCACATAAAAAAACAATTGACATCACGGCACTGTACACACATATATCCGTGCAGAATATATATACATATATACATATATATATATATATATATATATATATATATATATATATATATATATATATATATATATATATATATATATATATATATATATATATATAATATAATATAAGATACATAAATCTCAAAGGGTTCTCAACTTGCCTAGAGTGTTCTCTTATGTTTCCGTTCAACATTACTCCATGAACCAAAAACAAACACAGTTTGATCTGTTTGAGAACCCTTTGAATAAAAAAAACGAAAGTGATTTCTTACCTTAGGGTTCAACTTTTTGGGCACAGCGACCTTGGGGTCCACCTGTGGAGACACGAGGTACAGGTAATTGTTATCCATATCGAGGTGAAGCTGGTTATCGGTTACTTTCTCCTCCCAGTGAGAGAAACAGTACGAAGCAAATCGAACTTTAAAAAACGAAATCCCGTTCCGGGCAGTTCAAGTGAGCGACAGCTTGCTGTGAAATCTAAATGCCTTTTCTTGAGTGGAACACGAGTCGAAAGTACCACAACGTGAATGTGTTGTTGTTTTTTTTTCTTTGGTAAGCGAGACGGGTTTGAGAGTTACTAGTTCATGCACGAGGGCTCTTGTGTATGACAGATATGGGACGTGTTGTACGCTGGATCTGTCACAGTGTATGTCAGGCAGAGAGGTGTAAACCAGTGCAACGGTCAAACGGCGGTTCGATTACCTGTTTGTTTTTTAACTACCTCAGGTAAGAAGAGAAGTAGGTATTTCGTGTCTGGGAATAAATCACTGTAGGTAACTGAGCCGGTGCAATTATATTCTAAACCGAACAAAGAAAAAAGTTTTTTTTTTTTTTTAATGTGTGTGTGTGTGAGTTAAATACCTAAAATTTATTTTAGTATATAAAAAGTATATACACAAGATCTCAAAAAACGATATTTTCTTATTATAACTACGAAACGAGAACTTTGTAACAGTAGTAGCATTCAGCAACCACAAAACAACAGGACGCCAGTGTCCGTACAGTAACAGAATAGGGAACTGACAAAGTGCAGTAACTCGTGGGAGCTGACAAAGTGCAGTAACTCGTGGACCGATCGTTTAAATACCACAGGGAATTGCCAGAGAGGAGAGACCACTCGTTGACAGCAGACGTTAAATTTTCACAACTAGGAGGCAGGCACGAAGTGGTATCAGGGATACCGAGGATTTGGGATACCGAAAGTTGGGATACCAAGGTCACGTGAGGTGTTGGTGACTCGCAACAAGGGCAGAAATATTTCATCGATACAACAGTTACGGTCTTTCTTTACTGCTACCTGTACACACAAAATGTAAGTAGATCTATACACAATTAAATGACAAAAATTGAAGCTAATTTGTCTAGCTATAAATTAAATGACAATACACGATCCCTGACTACAGACCATATAAACTAACGTAGGCAGTAACCATGGAAACTGTTTATCTGTAAAGCTTAGAAACGATATTCAAATACATTACTCTACTGAAATCTTCCATATAAAATTTAAACATCTTTGCTATACTTCCATGAAAGGACGAAAAACACTAACATTATGTACCAATAGTACGAACTTTAAACAATCCGATACAAAAATCATAAAAACAATCAACAGACACAAAGATTAAGTACTAATCCTACAAACTTTTAATAATCCCGATACACAAAACGTAGAAACAATCAATTAATACAATCATTAAGTATCAATCCTACAAACTTTGAATTACTCCCGATATACAAATTAAAAAAAAACAATCCACTGACGCAATCATTGAATGCCAATTCATCAAACTGTTAAACAATTCAGATACACAAATCATAGGAACAATCCACCGTCAGTCATCAATTACCAATCCCGCAAACTTTAAAAAATCCCGACACACGAATCACTGAAACAATCCACGGACACAATCACCAGACAGGGTCCGTTGACACAAGCCTCAGACACACTTCACGACACACGAGAGCTGGATGTCGCGGACACACTGACAGCTTAGAGTGTGCGGCAGAGAGCCCTGTGTCCCATCCTTTTCCTGAATGCCAGGGACTATTTGAGCATACCTCTTCCCCTCCTCTACACAGGTCTTCTACCGATGTTTTTTTTTTCGGCCCCCAAATAGCTGTCCTCATACACGCATAGGGGGGACATTTTTTTTTTTACTTAGAAGAGAGAGTGTGGGTGGGGAGGAGAGAGGGAGGGGGAGGTAGAGTGGGATCACGGCGAAAAGAAATCCGAAACCGCTATTTAGAGAGGACAGGCAAACACGAACTCCCGTGGTCTGAGCAAATGCTGGAGCGAGAGCACAAGAGGGTTATGTTTGCTGCGCTGCCTTCGCCGCAGTTAGCCCCATTGTGCGCAGCGGGCGCATGCAATCCGTGGAGCGATCTCGTACGTCAGCGGTTCTAGAGTTATTGGGGATTAGCTCCCCTGTCACGATGGGTTATGGCGTTGGGGACATCCGGGGTCTGGAAGAGTTATCTGTCCTGAAAGAGTTATCCTTAAATATTGGAAAAAAAAAATAAAAATAATTCAAAATGATAGACCCGAATACGTGTAGCCAATGTCGGTGACGGTAAATCTCGTTTAAGTGCGAGATTGAGATGAGATATCACGAGATTTTTAAAAAAAATACCATCGGAACACAAGGCATGAAATGATTTAATTGACCTCACACCGAGCACAGCGGGGGCATGACGGAGTCGCCACAGGACCTGACAACCGGCTAACGAAGACCGGAACACCGGCTAACGAGGACCGGAACGCCGGCTAGCTGTGGGAAGTATTACGGCCGGATAACCAAACGTCAAACATACGGTATCGGATATCAAGACGAACACTTCAAGATACACTGACTTCCGGTTTTTTAAACTGAAATTAATTATTTTTTTGTAATTAAAACTTGTGTTGTGCGGGTGCGTTATGAAACAGCGCTTGTGTAAAACCCGATTCTTTAAGCGTTTATACCTGTGACGACGGAAATTAATTAAACTATAAACAATTTTAAAAATTTAAAATTTCCTAAAATAGCTTTGACTGATGGTTACACTTGGCTGGTTAGTACTGAGAAGGTTGTGTTCAAAATGCGATCTAAGTGCTTTAGGCTAACAAAAGAAAATGTAATTTTACGCAGAGGAGGACGGCTGGTTTTATTGGGAAAAAAAAACCTCCAGAAACCGCAGTTGAGATTTAAAATTAAAATACGAACCTTAAAACAGTAGTTAGAGATCTAAATTGACTAAGTATTTATATCTAGAATACTAATAAATGTTTAAATGAGATTATGAGTACTAAACAGTGCATACACATTACCACAGAAGTGTATATCCTACACTTTTTTTTCTAAGTTTTATTTTGAACCTGAAAGCCAATGGGAAAAGTGCAATAGAGTTCACATTGTTCTTGACCTCGGCATATGAAGGGATAGCGTGGTCATCACTATGCACAGTAACCTTTACTTTACTTCCCTTCACAGTCAGGTACCCATTAAAGCTGGATGGACTCAGGAATGTTTTACGGATTGGAACCCGGATTCGAACTCGAGACTTTCGGGTTAACAGCCGTATGCTCTACCAGCCAAAATCGCTGCTCCTTATAAAAAGTAAGCGGTAATTTAATTTTAGCCACAATGCTTAACACAAATCTCTACAAACAAGCTACGAAGGCTTAACACTATAGGCAACATGAATATAGAAACTAGATGTCCGGAACGAAGGTAAGAATCATTAGACACGAAGGTCAGAAACATCCGGTAGGAAGATAAGAATCATCCACCACTTGCTCAAAAAGACACCGGAAATATAGGACAGTCTTAGATTTCCAAATTAGAAAAAGAAAAAAAAAACAATTGTAATTAAAACTGGACATTTACATTAGTAATCCAAGGCTTTGTCGCAGAACCAAGAAATCTAGTATAAATTATTTTTCATTAAATTCATTGTTATTCTAATGTCATTAAAAAAAATGAACCATCTAATCTAGACATTAGCAGAGAACCACAATCTAAAAATAGAATCAAGGTTTCCATTTGTACACACGTCATATTAGCGTAAGAAGATGCATATAAACACACGCAGACGCCGTGCGGTTTTGTCGATTCATTCCAGTTTAGCCCGAATCCAATTACCAAAAGTTTCGTGTCTGTCCGGGAAAAAATAAATAATTCTCAACTCAAGCTTTTAAATAATCAATTGAGTTTAATTAATGAATTGGCAGTACAGTGCGATCGATGGTGAAACCTAATTGTTTCTTTTTTTTCTGTTTCCATACAGCGTGAGCTTTAAGGGAAAGAATGGAATTTTTCTTTTAGCTTCGTTTTCAGACAGCCGTTGTAGTAACTAAATCTACACGACACATTTTAAAACAACTTACGTTTTTAAAAAAAAAACTTAGACCATTTTGATATCAGCACGAACAATGGAAATTTTAATTTTAATTTTTTTTTTCTGCTGTAAAGGATTTTATACTAAAAAAGCGAAACGAAATTCCGATTATAAACTTATTTAAGTACACTTTTCAGATCAAGCATAAAAAAAGCTCATGGATTAGTACACACGCATCTAGCTGCCACTTAGTGTAAAAGGGATTGGTTAACAAAAGTGACGCCCAACTGACATATTTCTCTTCTTCGTTCTTCATTGCATTAGTGAAAGGTATTTCCTCCAACACAATTAATTATTACAGGTCCACATGTTTTCTCCATATCACCCGTTGAATCCGACTTCATATACTGCTTTTCTTTTTGGATTTGCTTCCATAGCATTTGCACACCCAAGAACAAACTACAAGGCAGCAGTTGTATCATTTTGGAGTTGTCTCTCCTAGTGGGGCTGTTGTCTCCAGATAATGAGCCTTATATACCCGGGGTCTGAACCCTAGACTGTTGGAGTTAGCCGGTATATGCTCTTCAGCCCGACCACACCGCTCCCTGTCCTTTCTTTGACTGGTGTCCCACGCGGTTTGTTTTTTTGAGGGGGGGGGGACAATATTAATTATTAGCTGCGTGGTAGCGCGGACGTACAATAGGTATAAGCTTACCACGTAGTCATGTTGTTAAAAACAATAGTCTTTTTAGTGGCACATGCACACACAAAGCATTTATTACAAGCTTTAGTTTTTTTGGTGGACAATGCTATAAGCACACACAAAGCATTTATTACAAGCTTTAGTTTTTTTGGTGGACAATGCTATAAGCACACACAAAGCATTTATTACAAGCTGTAGTTCTTTAGGTGGACAATGCCACATGCACACACAAAGCATTTATTACAAGCTGTAGTTCTTTAGGTGGACAATGCCACATGCACACACAAAGCA